TTGGGGTTTTCGTGACAAAGATGCTGAAGTGGTTTGTCATCTCTTTCTTCAGTTCATTTTATAGATGAGGAAACTGAGGCAAACAGGGTTAAGTGACTTACTCAGGATCACATAAGTAAGTGTCTAAGACCAGATTTGAACTCAGGAAGATGAGCCAGTACTCTATTCACTTTGTGCCCTAGTTGCCCACTAATGAGTGTATATGTCAGTAAATATAAACAACCTAAAAAGTCATTTCAAAAGGAAAAATACACAAAGAACTAAGGCAGGTGCTCTTAACCTGGGATCCAAGAACCTGGTTTGTTTCTGTTATATATTTTGATAATTATATATTAATATAATTAGTTTCCATTGTAATTTTGTGTATTTTATTTTATGCTTTTAAAAACATTCTTCCGAGAATGGGTCCATAGGCTTCACCAGACTGCCAAAGGAGTCCATGACACAGAAAAGATAAACAACCCTTCTTTCTAAGTCTTGTTTTTGCTCCAGTTGTTTCCCAACCCTGGAAGGTCCTCTCTCCCTGTCTTCACTGGCTGAATTCTTCCTTATCCCTAAAAATCTAGTTCAAATGCCCCCTCTTCTGTGAAGCCTTCCTTGATATGGTTTATACGTAACAGACCTTCCCCCTCAGATATCAGTCACCGTACTTCCGTACCTTTCTAGCATGCTTCTCAAGTCATAATATATATTACAGTTACGCATTTGTTTCACACCCACACATCCACACATCAGGATAAGTTACCTGAGCCTCTTCCCCCCAGTACTTTAGCACAGTGTTCCCCGAAAAACAGGCATTCAACAGATCTTTGTTCGTTTCATAAACTGCCTTGCTTCTAAAGAGAAAATCAGAATGCAGGAGATGAATGCCCACAGGCTAGGGAGAAATCAACCTAGAATTATTCTTTTCTACCCACTCAGATCTGGTACTCCAGTACCAGAGAAGATGTGCAGGAGTCTGAAGGCAGAAACCACGGGGAAGTACTTGGATGAGGGGAAAGGAGAAGGTTCAGTGACAGAACATTCAGCCATCCAGTCTGGCTCCTGGATTCGTGATGCTCATTCTTCTTGAAAGCTGTTTCCCAGAGGCTTCTGCTCTCCAGCTTTCCCCTCCTGGGCTTCTTTGCCCTTCCTATGCTCCTTGGGACTTCCCTCAGCCTTCCCTCCCCATAACCCTTTAGCCTGGGAGGGGCTAGCTTATCAGTTAAAGTCAGACCTTGACTGTCCTGGGGCAGGATGGGGATGAGGTGGGATGTGAAAGAAGATAAAAGGGCATGCTAGGGAGATGCTAAGCAGGTTCATCTCTTTGTGTCTTCATTTGGGGGGAGCAGATAAGGTGTTGCTTCAATTAAATGAATGTGGTTTTTTTTAATAGCATCTAAGATTAAAAATGCAAGGTGCTGGAAATACTTTTATGGTCTGGTGCTGAGTGAAGTAAGCAGAACCAGGAGAACATTGTACACAGTAACAGTCGCGTTGTATGATGACTAATATTGATATACTTAACCCTTCTCAGCAACGCAGGGATCTAAGTCATCTCCAAAGGCCTCATGATGGAAAATGCTATCCACAAAGAAGAAAGAACTATGGAGTCCGAATGCAGATCGAAGCATACTATTTGCTATTTTTTTTTCTGTTGTGTTGTTTCCTCTTTCTGGTGGTTCCTCCTATTGGTTCTAATTCTTACTTATAATACCACTAATGTGAAAATATGTTTAATAGGAATGTATATGTATAGCCTATATCAGATTGCATGCTGTCTTGATGAGGAAGGGGGAGAAAAATTTAAAACTCAAAAGCTTATGAAAGTGATTGTTGATAAGTCAAAATAAATTAACAAAAAAACCCCAAAAATTAAAAAACAAAAAACAAAAAGAATAGAGTGCTGGATTTGGAGTCAGGAAGATCTCTTTTTGAATCTCACCTTAGACACTTCCTAGCTATGTGACTAAGCAAGTGAGTCTAAGCCTCAGTTTCCTCACCTCTAAAATGAAGGAACGTGCCTCAATGACCTCTACGGTATCTTAGAGCTTTAAATCTGTAATCTTACGATCCTATGACATTGGAGTGCTGCAAGTAAGAAAGGAAATACTTTGGGGTCCTCTGGACTATCCAGGGGTATATGTCCCAACAATCTGCTTTTTTTTCCTTTAGAAATGTTTTCTGGGGTCCAACCTGAACAGAAATTGGTCTGATGTCTAGAGGAAACCCTGAACAGCCTTGTTAGTTCTAAAGAGACTCCTCCCTCAAAACTGAAGCTTATCTGGAGAGAATCTTGAGCCAAACCAGAACCCCTAGAAACACCCTTTGAGATTATTAGAACACCAAAAGGGCCCCAAAGCCTGCAAACTTTACTTGAAGGATAAACTCAGAGCAGAAGTAAATACATCTGGAGCAGGACAGGGACTCCTCTACACTGCCTATGACATGGCTTTGAGTGAGGAGAGTTGTGCAGGACTCTACCCAAAAGTATCAACCCTTCTACTAACATTCAACTCTCTAAGAGTCCTCTGGGGGGAAAAATGCAAATACCACCAGGAAACCTCAATCCCTTTTTAGCTAATGCCAGTTTAACATAAGTTGACTTGATGAGTGAGACCCATAAGATAAGTGCCCAGGAAGGGGGAGAAAGAAACAGATAGGGGAGGCAGAAGGCAACTAAGGCTGTTTGTGGCTTGCTTCATCATTTTACCTAGGATTTGCCCTGCCCTAGGGTAGCTAGACCAGAGAGAGAACTCCTTCCCAGGACCCATCCAACCACCCTGGAGTGTTAGAATGCATGTCAGGAGTCATCTCACAGCTACCTCCACATTTTTGCCAGGCTATAAGGGGAGCAAGAAATTTCCTGTATGAGAAGGTATCATTACCTACATGGCCCTACCTGGCTTTGACCATTTAAAATTCCAGAGAAATCTCTCTATATCCCAAGCCTTATAATTGCCTTAATATTGACAACAAACATTCATTATGAGCTCATTATGCAGCCTTAGTAAGCCACTAAAGCTCCTTTGGTCTACTTAAAGCTCCTGTCTTTGGGACTGCATTCTTTGTTTGGGACATTCATTCTTTGTTCCAACAATCATTTATCAATGACACAGAGTAGACCTTCACAACTTGGCAGTAGGTAGGGGCCAAAATTAAAATAGGCTGAACTTCTTTGGGCCGCAGATAGGTTAGAGACAGACTGATAATGGTTGGTTGCTGCAGGTCATGTGACAAGCAAAAGCTTGCGCAGTGGCAACCCTATATTTTTTGCTAGCCACTAGAAATCCTTTGGCACCACAACCAGCCCACGCTATGTTGTGCAGGCCTGACTTAGAGCATTTATTAAGGGCTTAATATGAGGCAAGCACTGTGCTGAGAGTTTAGGGATGCACATACAACCAAACAAAATAGCCCTTACCCTCAGGGAGCTTACATTCTAATGAGGGAAGAGACACATATAGGGGAGCTGATGCTCAGGAGAACAGAGGAATATGGCAGTCAAGAAAAAAAAAGGTCACATCCAGAGAAAATCTTGGTTAAGAGTGAGGTGAAATATACAGTAAGTCCTTCCTAAAGAAGTCAGCAATGAGGAGGGAAGAGAAGATTATTCAGGGTGAAAGTTTCCCACATATGCAAAAATGCAGTATCTGAAATGCAAAACTTCAGGTCTTCTGATTCCAAATCCAGGGTTCTTTCAAAGTTGATTCCATCTGGGTCTTGAGATAAACTTGCTTTACTTACCTCACCAATTTATAAAATGCAAAGTACTAGATAAATGTGGGCTGTTATTTTTAGGGACAGACCTGTGAGGCAGGTAGAACAAGGATTATTATCAACCTTCACTGCACATATTGGCTTGCTTCAGGTCTCATAAGTTCCAACCCAGGCTCTCTCCAAGAGCAGGCCTCTTTTTCACTAAACTACGCAAATGAAGTAAGGCTAGAACTTCTTTTCAAAGTGTTAAGTAAACATAAGCTATTATTGTTATTCCTTTTCAAGGAATGTTCCTTCATTAGGAATACTAATTACCTGTTATCACCTTACACAAATTGTTTCCCCTCTCTGGGCCTATAAAATGAAGGCAGTCTAGGGGTACAATGGATAGAGCACTGGACATGGAAGACAAGGTCAAATATTGCCTCACACATTACTAGCTGTGTGAGCCTGGGCAAGTCACAACCCCTCTAAGCTTCGGCTTTCTCATCTATAAAATGGAGATAACAGCCCCTGCCTAACATGAGTTCAAATCTTGACTCAGCCACTTAGTAGCTATATAACCCTAGGTAAGACCCAACTTCTCTGGGACTCTATTTCCTCATCTGTAAAATGGGGATAATAACAGCACCTACTTCCCAGGGTTATTGTGAGGATCAAATGAGATAATTGTAAATTACTTAGCATAATACTTGACATATAGTAAGTACTATATAAATGTTATTATCATTATTATCTGTAAAATAGAGAAAATAGTACCTAATTCCCTGGGTTGTTGTGAGAATCAAATATTTGTAAATCACTTAGGACATCTTATTATGTCCTACATAAATGTTAGTTGGTATCATCATCATTATCATCATTAATGGTTGGACTACATGAGGTAACTCCAAGGTCCCTTCTGCCTCCAAAGTTGGGATAGTGATTTCATCAGTGCAGGGAACTCCAAGGGAGTAAATTCCCTCCACTAATGCGGATCAGCACATGCTTTGTAACCTAAAGTCTTAGAGAGTTCTCTGGGTCACTGAGAAGTTACCCAGAGTTGCACTGTATGTCAGCGGCTGGACTTGAACCCAAGCCTCCACTCCCCCGGCAGGGCTGCGTCTCCACAGAAATATCGCTGTTATTGCTCCATAATTACAGCCTTTGAAGGGATCCCCATAGGAAAAAGCCAGCGGGGAAGAGGCAGGCTTGCACCACCAGGGGGCAGCCGCGTGAAGCCCGGCGTTCGCGCGCTTTATACGGCGCAGACTAAGGAGGCGGGGCCAAGCTCCCCTCCCCCAACACCCCCCCCGCCCCCGGGTGCCGCGGCCGCAGACAGAAGGCGCGCGAGGAGCATGTGGAGGCCCAGGCTGGGAGCGCTGGCGCTGGCGCCACCGCGGAGGCCCTGCAGAGCTGGGCCACACACCCTGCCGCAGCTGGCGCCCAGGCCTCGGAGGGCTGCGCTCTTCAGCCTCCCGGCCCAGGCGGGCCCCCTGGCTCTGGGAGCAGGGGCTGGAGCTGTGTCTTCCTGGGCTCCGGGACATTTCGTGAGTGTGCACACCCCGGGCATAATGCGATTGCGGCCCTGGCTGCGGGGTTTGGGAGTGAGAGGGGCGGGGCCTGGGAAACGGGAGGGGGGTTACCTCGGGAGAAGAAGGGGCGGGGCCGAATTAAAGGGGAGGGGCCTGGGAAGCGGGAGGGGAGGGGTCGGAGAAAGGGGCGGGGCCTGTAAGTGGGGAGGGGCAGAGGTGTCTGGAGCCGCACATGCGCGTTCTTTAGCTCCAAGCGCCCTGAAGAGGTGGGGGTGGCGGGGCTGTAACCCTGGGTTTATGATGTCCGAATGCGCTCTCGACACGTAGTGGCCGGGGTCCACATCTTTCCTAACTCCCCTTCTTCCTACACCTTTCTCCAGCCATTTCTGCCTTTGCAGTGCCTGCCCCCCCCCCCGTTTCTGCATTGCTCTGTCCTCCCCTCTACCTCTTGGTGAGGCTTGTGATGTATTGAGTGGACTTTGTTTTTCTGTGTTTGTGTTTGTTGACTGAATCTTGTGATGTAGTTAATATATGCTTTCAGGTTTGCAAAAGTGATTTACAAATATAATAATAATATTTGTATTGTGTGTGCCAGGCACTGTTCTACTCGCTTATGTTATTTGATCCTTACAACAAGGGATGGGAGGACAGGGAAAGGTCTATAGGATGCTATTCTTCTCTCCATTTTACAAAGGAGGAAACTGAGACTGACAGGTTAAGTGACTTGCCCAAGGTCACCCTGCTAGTCAGTGCCTGAGGCAGATCGTCCTTGACTTCAGATCCCACATGCTTATCTACTGGGCCACCCTTGAATGTAAGCTCCTTAAGGGCAGGGGCTGTTTAATTTTTTTTCTCTTGCTTTTGCAAAGCTTGCCACATATTGTACCCTGAATAAATTCTGGATGATTGATAGATTGGGACAGAACTTCCTCTTTTATACAAAGAGAGGATTAAGGGGCAGCTAGGTGGCACAGCGGATAGAGCGCAGGCCCTGAATTCAGGAGGACCTGAGTTCAAATGCGACCTCAGACACATAACACTTACTAGCTGGGTGACCCTGGGCAAGTCACTTAACCTTATTGCCTAGCCAAAAAAAAAAAAACAAGGAGAGGATTAAAATAGATCACCTCTAAAGTCAGTCCCTTTTTAGCTCTAATATTCCATGAGCATAAAATTCTTCACTGGGTGATTATGAAGTCATTAATTCAGCTTATCTTTTTCTGGCTGAATTAATCACAGTTCTGTGATCATTTCCTCCTACATCTTATTTCACAGAACTTTAATCATTCTGACTTTGAATCCTCACTACACACCTTTTGGGAGTCCAATGAGCCATGGTAGGAACCCTGATTTTTTTACAGTAAGGTGTGACTTCCCACATATTAAAGTTGTTGTTTGTTTTGTTTTGTGGTGGAGACCTGAGATTTCATCTGTATGGGAGACTACTATTGAAGATACTCCTCCATTAATACAGAGTAGCCGCTTGTGGGCAATTTAGAGTCCTAGAAGTTACCCAGGAGGACTTAACAGATAACTGATTTGAACAGTCACACAACTAGTATGTGCCAAAGTTAGGACTTAAACTCTTGTCTTTCAAAATCTAACCACTATACTGTGTCTTCTTTACTTAAAATATTTATGGGCTGATAAGTAACTTCCATGAAGCAGCTAGGTGGCTCAGTGGATAAAGCTCTGGGCCTGGAGTTAGGAATATCCGAGTTTAAATCCAGCCTCACATACGTATTAGCTGTGTGATCTTGGGCAAGTCACTTAACTTCTGTTTGCCTTAATCCACTGAAAAGGGAAATAGAAAACCGCTTCAATATATTTGCCAAGAAAACCCCAAATGGGATCAAGAAGAGTTGGACATGACTGAATGACTGGACAAAAGATATCTTCTCTACATCCCTTCTTCTTCCCCTTCCTGTTCCCCATCCATCTCTTATGATTTAAAAAAAAACAACAAGAAAAATAAAGCATTTCAGCAAAACGTTCAACCAAAAGCTGGCTCCTGTTGTGAAGAAAGCACTTAGTAATTGTAAGTGCTTAGCAGAGTGCCTTGCACAGAGATGCTTAATAAATGTGCATTAAATTGTTTAAATGTAAGTTATTCTAAATCTGCTGAGGATTTAGGCTTATTTCTGTACTTTATCTCCCCCATTTTTATTAAGTTATAATTATAGCTAGCATTATATATATGTATATATACATATATATATCACATTAAAGTTTGCAAAACTTAGATATATTATCCCATTTGATCCTCATGACAGTCTTATGAGTTCATTTCATAGAGGAAAATAAAACTCAGAGAGTTTAACATGTGAACAGGAAATGAAGGAAAGAAGCATTTATATGGCTCTTACTATGTGCCAGGCTCTGTGCTAAGTGCTTTACAGATATCTTATTTGATCCTCACAGCAATCCCTCAAGGTATTCCCATTTTACAGTGAGGAAACTGAGGCACACAGAGCTTGTGTGACTTGCCCAGGGTCACACAGGAGCTAGTAAGTATCTGAGGCCATATTTGAACTGAGGTCTTCTTGACTCCAGGCCCGGGGCTCTGTCCACTAAGCTACTGAGCTACCTCAGCTTGGTCACAGAGCTTTTAAGTCTCAGAAGCTGTCCCTAAAGTCTCTAAAGCCACTCCTGTCCTGACTCAGAGTGTAGTGCACTTCTGGTAGTATTGAAGCATTCAGATGTTGTTGTCACTTTACCATTTCTGAAAATTATTTCACATGTATGTGACTTTTAAAAAGCATTGACAAGAAATCTACAAGAAAATAAACAGATCCCTCTTTTTGTGTTATGAACTCCTCTGGCAATGTGGTAAAGTCTGTGGACCTTTCTCAGAATAATGTTTAAAATGCATAAAATAAAATGCATAGGATTACAAAGGAAACCAATTATGTTGAAATGTAGGTATTAAAATTATTTTTTCCAAACAAGTTCACAGATCCCAGGTTAGGGACCTGAGAGATGGGCAAATAAAATCTTATGATCTTAGCAGAGAAGATGCCTCTAGTAATCACAGAATGACATTAAAGATGGCTTATTTTTCTATAAAGTGCTTTGTAGTCTATAAAGCATATTCTTCAGAAAATCCTCTGAGGAAAATAATGCTAAGGGACAGCAAGGTGGTGTAATGCATGCGTAGAGCACTGGACTTTGGTGTGAGGAAGACCTAAATTCAAATCCTGCCTCAGACACTTATTAGTTATGTGACCTGGAGAAGTCATTATAATCCCAGCCTCAATTTCTTCATCTCTAAAATTGAGAATAATAGTAGTATGTTTATCACAGGGTTCTTATAAGAATCAAGTGAGATAATTTATGTAAAGAGATTTGCAAACTTTAAAGCACTATGTAAGTGCTATTTATTAAAAATGTCTGTATTTGCAGGGCAGCTAGGTGGTGCAGTGGATAGAACACTGGCCCTGAAGTCAGGAGGACCTGAGTTCAAATTCGGCCTCAGACCAATTACTTGATACTTACTAGCTGTGTGACCCTGGGCAAGTCACTTAACCCCAATTGCCAAAAAAAAAAAAATCTATATTTGCAAATTAGGAAACTATCTTGGGTTAAGTGACTTGCCCAAGATAACCAAATTACTTGCCTTGTCTTTTTTAGATCATGGACAAGTGGTCATTTAACCTTTTCTAAAAGACCTCCACTGACAAGATACTCGATACATCCAGAAAGAACTGGTAGCTGTCATCAATACTAAGTTTTCCCTTCTGTTGAGCTGTCTATGACTTTTGTCCATTGGTATTATTTCTGCCTTTTGGGGCCAAGAGGCCAAGTCTAATTCTTTTTCCATGTGGATTTATAAATCTTCAAATATTTGAGAAAATGCTAAATTCTCTCTTTTCTAGGCTAAGCATCCCTATTTCCTTCAGCCCATCCCCTTACCATTGTGATTCTCTTCTTCTGAATCCAGTCTAGCTTAATACCTTTTTTCCATCCCCATGAAGCTTTCTCTGATTCTCCTCCATCTGGAACTACTCCCTTCCATCTCCATAAATTATTAACTCTCTGATGGCAGTTTCACTTTGCGTCTTGTATCATAGTGGGATATTTTTTCCACATTACTAAAGTTTACTCTTTTTGGTAATAGAGCATAGAGACTCAAGCTGTGACTTCAATAGTATAGGAATAAATTTGTGAGTATACTATTATTACCTTAGAAACTTTAGCCTGTACTTCTTAACACTATGAACTTCATAAGTAGGTTGGCAATAGTTCTTTAATAGTGTCTTGTGTGACTTAAATATATCCAGAAAACAAGTAATTATTATCTTTGTCTTTTAGAGTTCTCGATTCCAGGGCTTCAGGGGTCAGATTCCAAAGGTCAAAAAGCAGAGTGTTCATTGATGAATTGAGGAATACAGGAACATTGGTTGACAAAAAGTAAGTTGCATTACTAATGCTTCTCATTTATAATCACTCACTGATCTGGAGTAACCTATGCAGTGGCACTGCTATTATTAGGATAGGATTCTTCCAGGGCAGCTAGGTGTTGCAGTGGATAGAGCACCGGCTCTGAAGTCAGGAGGACCTGAATTCAAATCCAGCCTCAGACCAAAACACTTGATACTAAGCTGTGTGACCCTGGCAAGTCACCTAACCCCAATTGCCAAAAAAAAAAAAAAAGGATATTAGGGGACACAGAAGTGATGGAACCCATCCCTGGCTCAAAGTCCTATTCAAGGAACCAAGGCTGGAATCATGAGTGAACAAAAATTAAACTCCAGGCCGGGTTAGAAAAGCCCAGCTAGGGAAACAATTTTTACAGCCGGTGTCTCTGATAAAGGCCTCATTTCTCAAATATATAGAGAACTGAGTCAAATTTATAAGAATACAAGTCATTCCTCAATTAATAAATAGTCAAAGGGCATGAACAATTTTCAGATGAAGAAATTAAAGCTATATATAGTTATATAAAAAAATGCTCTAAATTACTATTGATTAGAGAAATACAAATCAAAACAACCACATCACACCTGTCAGATTGGCTAACATGACAAAATGGGAAAATGATAAATGGTGGAAAAGATGTGAGGAAATAGTAACACTAATGCATTATTGGTGGAGCTGTGAACTGATCCAGCCATTCTGAAGAGCAGTTTAGAACTATGACCAAAGGGCTATAAAACTGTGCATCCACTTTAACCTAGCAATACCACGTCTAGGTCTGTATCCCAAAGAGATCATAAAAATAGGGAAAGGACCCACATGTACAAAAATATTTATAGCAGCTCTTTTTGTGGTGGCCAAGTAGTGGAAATGGAGGGGATGCCCATCAATTGGGGAATGGCTGAACAAGTTGTGGTATGTGAATGTAATGGAATACTATTATTCTATAAGAAATGATGCGCAGGCAGACTTCAGAAAAACCTGGAAAGACTTAGATGAACTGATGTTGAGTAAAGTGAACAGAACCAGGAGAACACTATTCCCAGTAACAGCAACATTGTACAATAACTAACTTGATAGACTTACCTCTCCTTAGCAATGCAAGGATAAAAGACAACTCCAAAAGACTCATGATGGAAAATGCTATCCACATCCAGAAAAAGAACTATGGAGTCAAAATGCAGATTAAAGCATACCATTTGCTCTCTTTTTTCGTTTGTTTGTTTCTTCTTTCTTGCGGTTCCTCCCATTGGTTCTAATTCTCTTTACAACATGACTAATGTAAAATATGTTTAATATGAATGTATATATAGAGCCCATATCAGATTTCACCCCATCTTAGGGTAGGAGAAGGGAGGGAAAGGGAGAAAATTTGGAACTCAAAATCTTACGTAGGTAATGTTGAAAACTAAAAATAAATTAATTAATAAAAAAAAGAAAAGAAAAGCCTAGCTATCCATATCCAGAGAAAGAACTATGGAGTCTGAATGCAGATTGAAGCATACTATTTTCTCTTTTTTTGTTTTTGTTTTTTCTTTCTCGTTTTTGCCTTTTGTTCTAATTCTTCCTTCACAACATGACTACTATGGAAATGTGTTTAATATGATCACACATGTATAGCATGTATCAGATTGCATGCTGCCTTGGGGAGGTAGGGGTAGAAAAGGAGAGGAGAAAATCTGGAACTGAAGATCCTAAAAAAGTGAATGTTGAAAACTAAAAAGAAAGAAAGAAAAAAAAGAAGAGGCCAAGAAATAACTCCATAATAAGTACAAGTAGAGCCTCAAAGAAAAAGAATGCCATTTTTGTAAGAACTCCAAGAGGAATGGAAGACATGAAGCAAGAGATTTTTCTTTTCTTTTTCTTTTTGGCTGGGCGTTGGGGTTAAGTGACTTGCCCAGGGTCACACAGCTAGTAAGTGTTATGTGTCTGGGGCCAGATTTGAACTCAGGTCCTCCTGAATCCAGGTCGGTGCTCTATCCACTGCGCCACCTAGCTACCCCAGGAGATTTTTCTTAATGAAATTAGAACACTTGTGAAAAGAAAAAGTTGGAAGGAGAATAAACTACTTAGAACAGAAAGGTGGAAAATATGACCCAAATAGTAGACTCTCAGAAAAAATAGAAGACTATGTGAGGTATCTACTATCAAAAGCAGCTGACCTAGAAAACAGCTCAAGGAAAGATAATTTAAGAATCATTGGTTCTTTGTAATAGAGGATGGTTCTCTGGGAGGAGAAAGGAGAAAGGATACACTGGGAAATGTAGGTGATGTAAAAAAAAAGCAAGCAGTAAAAATCAATTTCTAAAATCAGTACACAACCCCAAGAGAATTTTTGTTTGATTAAAATTTAACTACATTTTTAATTGATATATTTTGTTTTTACATCACCCTTTCTGAATGTAACTCTGACCTGCCCTCTCCCCAGCAAGCCATCCCAACAAAGAGAGAAGGAAAAAAAGGGTTCAACAAAACCAAATGAACACAATGGTGTCTGACACCAGTAGAATCTCTCCTGCCTCCCTACAAAGCAATGAGGAAGGTGCATTTTCTCATCTTTGAGGACAAGCTTCAGGGCTTGTGTGTATGTGTGTCTGTGTTTTAGATGCACCAGTTTTCTTTAAGAAAATGCTTTCCTATGCATTCAGTAAACACTTGTGCATTAAGTGATCTGACTGTATCATGGATTTGCCAGTTTGTTCTCAACATCCTTCTTTGGATTGTTAGTTTTAAGCTGAGCCATGCAAATCCATTCGCTTAATATTTAGTTCCATTTGGGGCTTGTGATTTTTAGTTCCTCATAAGGAATAGGAAGATTTATAGTTTCTAATATCTCTCCCATTCTCCAGCTTCTAGAGTTATTTTGAGAGCAAAAAGTATTGTGCCAATATAAAATCATAGTGTTAGGGTTTGAAGAAACTTTAGAGAATGTCTTGTCCATCTCCTGCATGCATCCCCTCAACAATATCCCACCTAAAAAAGTGATGATTTTGTCAAAGTCTTCTTGGTCTTCAGGACTGTTTCAACTTCATAGAATCACAGAATTTCTGAATGAGAAGAAACTTCAGAGGTTATCTAGTCTGATCCATTTTGCGGGGAGGAGAAGGAAGTTGTTTTTAACATTTTCTTATTTTGTTTTAAAAAAAATGTTAATTTGATACTGAGTAAAATGAGATTTGCTGACTATATGCTATGTTTTCTGCCATCCCTGCAGCTCACTAGATGAAGCCACTTATGAAAAACTTGCAGAGGAAACACTGGACTCCTTAGCATATTTTTTTGAAGATCTTGGAGACAAGCCTTACACCTCCAAGGATTACGATGTCTCCTTCGGGGTATTTCTATTCTTACTTTAATTTTTCTGACCTGTTGGAACAACAGCGCATTGAGGGAAAGAAGTCTCCCTCAGGACCTTCAATAAGTATGACACAAGATCATAAATTTTGAGCTGAAAGGGCCCTTAAAGGTCGTCTTAATCCCACCTCCCAATTTACAGATGAGTTACAAAGAGGTCAGATGACTTGCCCAAGGTCACATAGGAAATAAGTTAGAACCAGATTTCAAACCCAGGCCCTCTGGATACAGATCCAGAGCTCTTTCCACCAGCCAGATACTTCTAAATCACTTTGAGGAAAGTAGCTCAATGAATCCTTTTATAAAACTGGCCCAAAGTCATAAGGAGAACAAGTGTCTCCCCAGGTGGCTTGGAGAAAAAGAATGAGAGAGCCTTCTTTTGGGACGGTGAACTTTGGTGGGGTTTCTTCTCATGTTATGGCCAGATAATTGTCAGCAGGACAACAGTTTTACTAAGCAGCAGTACAGACGTCAACAAGCCTTTATCAAGTTCCTGCTATGTGCCAGAAATAAGACTTAGCGTCTGCCTGTTAAAAATTAAGTCTGTACTAGTGAGCCAAGCTAACAAACATTAATTAAGTGCCTTTTGTGTGCAAAGGAACTAAAACAAGTCACTGCTCCCTAGGAGCTTACATTTTACTAGGGTTTACAACATATGCACAAATAAATAAATGCATGATTATTTGAGGAGAGAGTGAGCCAGAAGAACTAGAGGGACCAGGAAAGACTTCATGGAGGAGATGGCATGTGAGCAGGGCCTCAGAGGCAGCTCAAGCTTCTAAGAGACAGAGAGGAAAACAAAATGTATTCCATATATGCAGCATAGCCTCTCCAGAGGCAAGAGATGGAATTTGGAATTTGGGAAATTTGGGAAAGGGTTCTTGGTGATGCAGTGAATAGAGCACTGGCTTGGAGTCAGAAAGACCAGATTTCAAGTTTGACCTCAGACGCTTACTAGCTATGTGATGCTGGGCAAGTCAATTAACCCCTGCCTGTGTAAACTGGCATTCCAGCTATCCATTCCAATATCTTTGCCAAGAAAACCCCATAGACAGTATGAAGAGTCAGATATGATTAAATAACGACAACAATAATTGTACTTTCATACCCTACCTAGTGTAGAAATTATATTGAGGCAGCATGACATAACAGCTCCATTTATATATAGTGCTTTAAGGTTTATAAAATGCTTTATAAATATTATCTCATTTGATTCTCACAACAACCCTGGGAGGTAGCACCTATTATTATCATTTTACTGGAAATGGAAACTGAGGTAGACAGCAGCTAAGTGACTTGCCCAGGGTCACACAGCAAGTAAGTATCTGAGGCCATTTTTGAACTGACTCCAGATCTAGGCTGTATTCAGTGTGACACCATCTGCTTCATCTAGCATAGGGAGCCACTTTAGAATCAGTAATACCTGGATTCGAGACCCACCTGCACACGTACTAGCTGTATGACCCTGGGCAAATCACTTAAATGCTCGGGGCTTCCAGGAAACTCTCTAAGAGAGGAGTGCCTAACCTTTTTAATGTCATGGAACCCCTTGGCAGTCTGGTGAAGCCTGTGGACCCCTTCTCAAAATAATATTCTTAATGCAGAAAGTAAAATACATAGGATTGCAAAGCAAACAAAGTATATCGGAATACAGTTATCAAATATGAAGAAAAAAGTTCTCAGACCCCAGAGTAAGCAGTGTTTTCTCTCTGGGATTTCCTACAGTGATGAAATCCCAGGTCTGAACCTGCAAAGGGAAGCCCATATTGAATGAAAAGGAGGCCTTCCACCCCAACTTCTTTTTATCCCCTAATTATGCTCAGCTCTTGCTGCCCCACGTCATTTAATAGTATTGTCCTAGACTATAAACCCCATGAGGTCATGAACTGTCATCTAAAATTCCTATTTCACCCCATATTTTTCATAGGTCTCTGCATGCAGCAGGTATTTAATAGCTGTTTCTTATTGCTAGGAATACTTCCATAAGATGTTTGTTATTTTATATGTGGTACTCTGCACTGAATTAAGATTTCTTCAGTTGGATGAAGATAACCACTTATGTTTGAGAGTTTAATAAATGGTCATGACAAACCACTAGGTGTCATACTTAGGAAAGGGTTCTTTCTGGCTTCTGACCTTTTTAATTATTATTTAGTGCTAACTCCCCGTTGAGCAGGAAGAAGAAAATCCCCTGTTAAGGTTAATTCTCTTGACAGCAGTTAATTAATACTAGGAAGCAGGCATTTTGGTTTAAACTCTGGAATTATTTATGATAAGGATCTTTTTGAAGATCATCTCAGGTGTATAAACAACATTTAATGAGTACCTCGTCCTACTGTGTCCCTTCTCCCACCCCCACCCCCAGGAGCTATGCCAGTATGCTAGGTAGACATTGTGGGCCCTGCCCCCAAGAGCTTCACAGCCTAACCAGAGAGACTGACCAGCACACAAAGGAGATAGTAACATGATGGCTTCCCAGGGATATGTTATTAAATATTAAATAGAGTGTAAACAGAGTACATGCATCCTTTGAGAATACTGGATAAGGGTATGAACAACACTTAGTCTAGGGTGAGTGATGGAAGACATCTCTGAAGAGGGTTTGGAGACAGATTTTATGGATATAGAGGGACCTGAGTTAGTAAAATAAAGCTGGAGGAACATTCTGTAGCTTATATATTTATATGTATTATTTATGTACATGGTCTTCCCCATTAGAATGTAAGCTCCTTAAAGTCAGGGATTGTTTTTGCTTTTTCTTTGTAAAGTACATAATGTTAAGTACATAATGCCTGGCACAGAGCAAGCCATTAACAGATATTCAGTGAGTTGATTGATTGATAGGATTATAGATATAGCACTGAAAGGGAATTTAAAAGTCAGCTGCTCTAACTGCATTTTACAATTGAGGAAATCCAGCCCCACAGAGGGGAAGTGACTTACACAAGGTTATACAGGTAATAAGTGGCAGAGCCAGTATTTGAATGTGGGTCCCATGATTCCAAGTTCAGTGGTCTTTCCACTGTATTACATTGCATCTCTTGTATAGCCTTTAAAATTTTTTTTTCTGAACTCCATAAACACCCCTCAGAAAAGTATAGTTCTATATACAGAGTAGAACAGGAAAATATTATTTATGTAAAATTCTCTAATACTTACAGCCTGCTTTTTTCAAAAGTATATAATACCAGTTGCCCCCCACCAAAAAAAAAAGTATATAATAAATTTAATTTGTTACTTATTTAACCTTCTGAACTTCTTTCTGCTCTCTTCTGTACATTTTTAAAAATGTTGCAATGGCCTGCTTTTCTTTTTTCTTTCTTTTTTGTAGGCAGTCGAGGTTAAGTGACTTGCCCAGGGTCATACAACTAGTGTGTGAGGCCACATTTGAACTCAGATCCTCCTGACTTTAGGACTGGTGCTCTGTCCATTGTGTTACCTAGCTGCCCCTTTTCTTTCTTTCTTTCTTTCTTTCTTTCTTTCTTTCTTTCTTTCTTTCTTTCTTTCTTTCTTTCTTTTTTTCTTTCTTTCTTTTTTTCTTTCTTTCTTTCTTTTCTTTTCTTTTCTTTACTTTTAAACAATACTATTACTACCTCCCCCTATCCCAGTGGGGGGAAAAAGGTAGAATCCTGGTAACAAGCATAGTCAAGGAACTTTTTCCCCGCAAGGGACTCACACTGAAAGCCTTTATTTATTTGTTTATTCATTATCTGTTTATTTTTTCCTTGTTAACAAATACCAATAGTCAAGCAAAATTAATTTCTGTATTGGTCATGTCTAAAAATATATGTCTCATTCTGTAGCCTGAGTCCATCCCCTCCTTGTCAGGAAGTGGTTAGCAGGTTTCATCACTGAGCCTTTAGAATCTTGATTGGTTATTGCACTTTTAAGAATTCTAAGTTCTTTGCTTTTACGGTGTTGTTAATTATATAATTCCTGGCCCTACTCACTTATCTCTGTATTAGTTTATACTATTTCGTCATTGATTATTGTACAGTAGTATTCCATTATAGTCATATAGCATAATTTGCTTAGCCATGCCCCTTCCCATTACTTTGCCGAGTAAAGACAGCTAGGTGACTATCAATACAATGATGAGCCTAGAGTCAAGAAGACCTGAGTTCAAATTTGACCTCAGACACTTAACAAGTTGTGTGACCTTGAACAGGTCACTTAACCTCTGTTTGCCTCAGTTTCCTCAACTGTAAAATAATAACAATCCTTACCTCCCAGGGTCATTGTGAGGATCAAATTTGTGAAGTGTTTAAAACAATACCTGGCACATAGTAAGTACTACATAAATGCTAGCTGTTATGATGATGATGGTGGTAATGATGATTACTCTGTGTGTAGAGCCTTAATAGTAATAATCTTCCTCTGAAGGTCACCTTCAGAACTTCATTATGGTTTTTAAAAGCTAGATCAGTAGAGCAGAAGATCTGAAAGCTCTTACCTAACCTTAAAAGCCTTCAGAAATAGGCCTAGGGATGGATCATCTAACAACCAACCTAATTAGATTTAGTTTGAATGCACATTTATGAAACTTCTACTCTGCTCAGAACTATAAAGTTTAGATTAAACATACCCCCTGCCCTTTTGAAGCTTACAGTATTGTAGTGGGATGTACCAACACAGGTAACTCGAATACACCGTAAATACATTGGAAAAGTGAAAAACAAAGTGCTACATGAGGTCAGAGGGGGAAGAAAACTTAAAGAGGTAGTCTTTGAGTTGAGTTTTAACAGAACAGAGCAATGAAGGACATCTGTGAAAGCATGGATGACTTCCATCTGCAAATCCCCTACATGGGTGATTTCTGGAAGACAAGACAGTGAATAGTCCTGTTTGGTTAGTAAAACACGTTGGGGAAAATGAATGAAATAAAGATAAAAAGGTAGAGCCAGGTTATGGAGGGCCTTGAATGCCAAGAAAAGGAGTTTTTACTTGTTAGGCAGTTGAGAGCCACTGAAGACTTTCGAGCAAAGGAATGACGTGGCCAGATCTCTGCATAAAGAATACGAGTTGACTGCATTATGAAGTGTGGGTCGGAGGGAGAAGAAATTGAGGAAGCTATTTCCAGAACTTGGTCTACTGGGTGATCTGTTTTTTGGCCACAGCAATTAATAAGGACTCTTTACTAAGTTATGTAGGAATTATGATTTGCCTCGTTGATCACCTGTGAGACTACCTATCTTTTGAAGTATTTAAGTAAATACTGCTAATGATAAATTGAATGTTAAAGATTTAAAACATGGCCATTTTTATTGACAAGTCTTAGCTGAGTTGCCCATGGCCAAGCAGAGAATTATCTGGAATAACTCAAGCTGAAATTAGAATCTAGGCAGTTACGCAGATAGCTCAGGCAAAAATCTTGAGTAGATAGGTATTGGTAAAGAATGATTATAGTCAACTTCCAGTTTTCTGTACCAGATTATTTGATTTGAAGATTATCTTACATGTGTTGTTTCCTGCACTCAAACTATGGGTCTCCTGATCAAAGGAGACCATTATCTATGCTAGTACTTTCTTTTTAATTGATGTGGATAATTGAGTTTTGGCTGTAGTACTATAGGGCCAAAAGTCCACGTACATTGAAAACCTTCCCATGTCCTTTGCTTAACTAAATTGTCCATGAGAGATCTAACTGAACAATGCCGACACACCCATATACAATATCACTGGATTATTGGACCTCTCTTTTTCTTTTGATTTTTTTTTCCAGAGGCAGCCTAGCCTCCTATAGAATTGGAGCAGTAAACGAATGTCTGCATGTTGGTGTGGTCCTCTGTTTGCTAGGTTGGAAACTGACATCTTGTCCAAATATTATTGATGTATTCTTTGGGGACTAGAGGATATTTGTAGCTGTGTTTTTTTTGGCCCAGGCAATTGCATGTGGGGCATGCTGGCTCGTGTATGACTGCTTCTACAAATTACTTATTTATAACAATAGTTCTTATTTCTGTGCCCACATAAACAATTCTTCCAATTGGCCAGCAGTTAGGGTTACTATGCCTTGCAGGAGGTGTCTTTACAAGCAGTGCAAACATCAAAATGCCTTAGTGGACTAATAACGTCCTTCATTCCCCTCCTTTTGGCTGCTGCTTTTAAAAGAGCTTCACATTACAAACAGACATATAATGGGAGGAATTATAATCATTCACCACAAACAGCAAGAGGTTGGTGAACTGTAATTAAGAATTGGAAGCAAGAAGCATGTATCCATTAATTCAGTGGTGTCTGAACTTTTCTAATATTTATGTCAAAAAATTTCCCTAACTCCTTCCTCCATGTGATAAGAACTATACTAGTAATATCTGTTGGTTGATAAAATACAAAATTACAAAAAACAGTTACCATAAAATCAATTATGCCTTTAAATGTATTTTTATTAATTGTGGCCCAGCAGGAGGGAACCATTGTTCTGGTGGTTTGCTTTCTTTGATAGCTATCAAAGGTTCCCTCCTGCTGTATTGTTTTTAAATTTGAAAGTTGTAAAAAAATTTTAAAAATTTTAAAAAAATAAGAAAAAAGAAAAAAAGGGAAAAAAGGAAAAAAATGAACAAATTTGAAAGTTGTGAGATGTTATTTCTAAACCCTAAATCAGTGTATGTGATATAGTCATTGTCACAAATTATTACCTTTCCCCTAAATGTTCCTAGACCTGCAGTCCATGGATATAGGAAGATTTTAACCCATTACTTATTAAAATACTTTTTTCAGAGGTCACTAGTTGAGCATCCTCTTCAAAACTTTGTGTTGATAGCTTTTATTTTATATTACTTTCATTTCTTAATATAACCTTTCCCATCTGCTACCAAGGAACCATCTTTCTCCAACAAAGAATAAAATGGGGGGCAGCTAGGTGGCACCTAGGTGGCGCAGTGCATAAAGCATCAGCCCTAAAGTCAGGAGAACCTAAGTACAAATCTGGCCTCAGACACGTAACACTCAAAAGCTGTGTGACTCACTTAACCCCATTGCCTAGCCAAAAAAAAAAAAAAAAGAATAAAATAGGAAGACATAGAAAGCAATTCAGCAAAACCAACGGACACATCAACCAAGTCTCAGAGTATGTGCGGTGTTCCATACCCATAATGCACTTCTGCAAAGAAGGTCTTTTCTCATCATTTCTCTTGAACCAGTCATGGTCCTTAACAATGTTCAGTTTGATGTTGGGGTTTTTCCATTTACAATGTTGTAGGCATTGTGTATGTTTTCTTGGTTCTGCTTATTTCATTCCATTTCAATTATTAACTTTTCCCATGCTTCTCTGAATTCTACATGTTTCTTAGTTCTTAGCCATTCCCTAGTCACTTGGCATCTACTTTGTTTCTAGTTCTTTGCTAACACAAAAAGTGTTGCTATGAATATTTTGGTGAATTTGGGACCTTTTTTCTGTCTTTGATCTCCTTGTGGTATATGCCTAGCAATGGTATCTCTGAGTCCAAGGGCAGTGAATTATTTTTTAACATCATTTTCCCCCTTCAATTTAGTCCTTAGAAATAGTAAATCAGAAGCATCCTCTTATTTCCTGTTCTGAATTTAATGGTGGCACACTTCATACACACTCTATTAAATAACATATTAGGATTCTAATTGGGTCTAATTTTAATTGTCACTGTGCAGTTATTATCTAGATTAGGTTGCACATGGAAAGTTAGCTGTTTGTATTACCTTTCCATACCTAATAATTGTACAATTATTGCTACTATCATTATTATTTTTATTTAAATAGTTTGTTTTCATACTTGCAGAAATTTTTATAAGAACTATTCACAACAGTTAAGTTGCCATGGGGTTGGGAATTGACCCAAAGGAATAGGTTATATCCATGTAGATGTTATAGAGATCCTTTCTTCAGGTCACAGTTGATGTATAGTGAAAGAGACCCAGAAAATCTTTCATTGCCAGTCTGACTAAGCGGAATTTTATTTTTCTAATCTATTTCTCCCATATCCTGTACATACTAAAGAGGCACAGGAGATGTGGAAATAAAAGGCTCTACCACTGAAAGGATATTTTTAAATTTCCATTAGTTATTTCGAGGGCAAAGGTGAGTGAACAAATCTGTTTTCATGTGTGACTTGAAGTATAAGAGAGGTGTCTTCTAAGCATTAAAAAAAAAATAAAAAGCTTTCTGGTGACATGTGAAAAGATCTGGGGTTAGAGCGGATTCAGCAGGGAGCCTGGGGCTTCAGAGCTCCTCACCATCATCCTCCCACAGTAAACAAAGTAAATGGTTAATTGGATTTAACCTGTTTGGTTTGTGAGTATATTTACATGTTGAATTTTACATGTCTAATTTTATTGTTTGTTTATATGTGCATTTTGAGTGCTTGTGAATATTGAGTATATAAGAACAGTACCCTGGGTAGAAGACTAGGTAGAGAGCCATCTCCATGTTGTGACCTTGGGCAGAACTCTGAACCTCAGTTTCCTCATCGGTAAAAGTAGGGCTCATCATAGCTGCCCTAACTTGCCTTTACACAGGGTTTTTTTAGTAAGGACCAAATGAGATTAAGAATATGAAAGTGTTTTGAAAATCATGAGATATTCTTATTTCTAAACCCTAAATCAGGCCTGTACCGCCTGAGGCCCACGGGATGCTTGTGCAGCCCAGAGGATTTCAGGAGGCCTGAGAAAAATGTAGAGAAAAACATCTACTACATTTTTTTTTGTTTTTGTTTTTGTTTTTTAGGCAGTTGGGGTTAAGTGACTTGCCCAGGATCACACAGCTAGTAAGTGTCAAGTGTTTGGTCTGAGGCCGGATTTGAACTCAGGTATTCCTGACTTCAGGGCCAGTGCTCTATCCACTGTGCCACCTAGCTGCCCATCTACTACATTTTTAGCAGGCCACCCAAAATCCTTCAGGTTGTGTAGGCCTGCCCTAAATCAAGATTGTTGTGATATCTGTTGTGTTCGAATGTGATTGCAAAGTATTGAGAAACTGAGAAGTTCAAAGAAATTATGACGCGATGCCAATTTTCATTTCCTCCCCCTCCCCCAAACACTAGGATGGTGTGCTAACAGTAAAGCTTGGTGGAGACCTAGGAACTATGTGATCAACAAACAGACCCCCAACAAGCAGATCTGGCTGTCTTCTCCATCCAGGTATGTAACTTACCTTGTTCTGGAAAAATTGAAGTAGGCACAACTTGAACTTCAATGTACCTTAATAATTTCCGGTGGTGCCCTTTCCATCATCTCCTCCCTCCTCAGCCTCCATGCCCATTATTAACTAGCTTTAAAAGTGAATCTTGTTGTATGTTTGCATACATTTATCTCTTGTTCTAAGCAGGAAAATGTACCCCAATCACATGACTTCTCCTTGCTGATTGCTTGGTTTCTGTAAACAGACATGAGGGTATTTAACCAAAAAGATATGTAAATGAAAAGAAAGATGTGTCTTTTAGGAACTAGGGTAGACAGTCTTCATCATCTCTGAATTAATGGCATGTTTGTGGCAAGGTCTTGTTTCACATTATATAATTTTCTTTAAAATTTTAGTATCTTTTGTTTTCACATTACCTTTAAGTCCAAGCATATCCTTCTTCCCCTATCCACCAAGCCAACCCTCGTAACAAATGTTAGAGATGAGGAGTAAAAAGCAGTAAGTCCAAACCAACCACCACCAACCACATCAACAATCTGAAGGTATTGGTAAAGGATCACCCCCAATCTCGACACACCCCTCCCAGTGTCTGCAAAGATGGAGAGAGAAGTGTTTTTCTCCTCTCTTTGTCAGGGACAAGGTTGATCATTAGAACTACACAGCTTTCCATTTCAGGGTTTTTCCCCATGCACAATACAGTTTTGGTAGCAACTTTGACCCCTGATTTGTTTTGTAATTCTCCTTTGGCTGTTTCAAACACAGAAACCAAAGGTTGGCAGAATTCCTTTTGCAGCATAGTGCAGCAGGTTCAACTGAAATGCACGAGAGTTTTAAAGGGCTGGGCAAAAACTGTTCAAGTCACCTAGTACATAGCCAGAGTTTCCATAGATGCATACTCACTGGGAAGGAATAAGATAGGAGAAAGCACATGGTTCAATATAAAGGGTGCTGCATGTTTCCCTGCCCTAGTGTTTACATTAATTCTTGGATAATTAGCAGGGGGCAACTAATGAATGATCTCTTCACCATGCTGTGTTCAATAACTCTGTTATAAGTGAATTCAGTAGGGTTCAGATATTAGTAAGCCATTGCTCTCACTTCCTTCAGGCTCACAAATGATGTTTCAAATTCATGTTGTCCCTGGTGATTGCCTGGATTTTAACATGGCATTTGGATGAACAGTCTGTAGAATCTGTCTACCTATATTTTTTTCTAGGACTGACAATATAAATAGATAATGAGCTGTTCTTAGCATTAAACAGGAGGATAGCAGGCTGGATTACTTTCAGAAAATTACTGAGCTCCTTTAATATCCCCAGACTCTCCTAGAAACTAAAATCCATCTTATAACTTCCAGTATCCTAGTGACTTTGTCATAAGACTTTGAGACATGACCCACAGCAGCTTTAGAAGATTTAAAAATGAATTTCATGCACAAGAATGGAAAGGTGCATATGGGGGTTAGCCAGACGAACTATAGTAATAATAACAACAACAATAACTAGCATTTATTTAGTGCTTTAAGGTATACAAATCACTTTATACCTTTGTTACCTCAATTGAGATAGTAACCCTATTATATAGGTGCTGTTATTATCCCTGTTTCACAGATGAGTAAAGTGAGGCACAGGGAGATGAATTGGCTTGCTGAGGATCACACAGCTAATAAGTGGCTGAGACAAGATTTGAACTCATCACCCTGGCTCCATATCTAGCACTGCTTTTACTATGCCACCCAACTACCTATGTGGAACCAATGAGGAACCTTGAAAAAGAACAGGAATAAAGGCTGTCATCAAAGAAACACATCCTCACAGTGCTAGTGAAGCAGGGGCCAGAGATTTGATCCTTATGTGAATCAATTAGCTTCATCTCAGTCTGTGGTCGTGGCCCTCATCCCTTACCCATGGCCAGCTATCCCATAAATTTGTGCTCTTGTTCACAGCAAGGACTAAGTGAGGAAAATATGGTTGGATCACTGCAAATTCATTCTCACTTCTGGAAAAACATCCCAGCCTACTTGGGCTAGCAAAAGTATATGTGTCAGTAGCTTCCTCTCCATTTCTAGAGGATAATACTAGTAGTCATGGCAACCACCAAAAAATATATATAGCTATGTCTGGAGACTGAAAAAGGCCATGCAAGCCCATGTTTTATTTGGACACACTTGACAGTAACATGATGCTAGACCAGTCTTGCTCAGAAGTGTGTTTCAGTGAATAATAATAAATTTGTGTAAAGCCCAAGTAGCATTTTTCATCTGCAATATATGCCAAAAAATTTTTAAAGGAACTGCTGACAATCCATGTAGGGTAGGTTACAAATACTAGTTTTTTCTTTAAAAATGTATTTTTCTATTTTTCCCTCTTTAGGTAAAACTTATCTTTCAGATTATTTGATTTGGTTGAAAACTTTTCCAGGTGCTTCCTATGACATTGGTTGATTTACCTATGGAAACGCAATGGCCTTTTGTAGTCACATTATCCCTGTGGACCAGGTCCTCTGTGTGATATATAGTGGGGAATGAGCAAAAAAAAGAGGCAAGGAAAGGAAAAAGTTGTGCAAACATCAATGAATAGCACTGTTTGAAAGGCATGGGCTTTGGAAATGTTCCAGTCAAAGTGAAAGTGCTTGAATGTTAATTACCATTTGCTTGGCCTTTATGTAGTGTGAGAATATTTTTTAAAAGAAAGAAAAACTTCTGAGAACTGCCTTGTTGAACAAGTTAAATCCATAGATGAATTATGTAAATTAAGGTTTACCATCTATAGAGCTTATCTTTATAGACTCTATTAATAACCCCCCAAAATTCAAATGTTTCAGTCATATTATTCATAGAGAAGGCCTGGTGATTTTTCTCATAGGCATGTTATTACAGAATCGTTTGAAGATAAGTTTGTAAAAATAAATAGGGGGGTAGGATAGGATGAATGGGGGATAGGATAGGATGAAGGGAAATATACTTAGTTTTTCACAACATGACTACTATGGAAGTGTTTTACGTGACTACACATCTATGACCTGTATTGAGATGCTTGTCTTTTCAATGAAGGTGGGTGGGGAGGGAAGAAGGGAGAAGATTTGTAACCTAAAGTTTTAAAAACACATGTTAAAAATTTTTTTTTAATTTTTTTAAAGGGAAAAAAAATAAAGTCTGCTTTATGGTCATATCCATTTAGTAGATGTATTTAGCATGGTAGTTGTTCACTAATGGTGGATTTCATCCACATTCTTCATGAAAGAAGCTGTAAGAAACAAGGAAAGGATAGCATTGTGATCCGGAAAGTAAGTGGGATACATAAGAAGATACCTAAGGATTTTCCTAAAGCATGAATAATTACAGATAATCTAAAAGAAGAATTCAAAGGCAAGAAATAGTTCACCTGACTTAAGGATAGGCAAATGAGGAACTAAAGGCAAAGTAGCAACAAACTGAAAAAAAAAATTTTTTTTTTGACCCAAACCTGTGATTTATCTTCACCAACACAGATCAACAATTCAGCTTTGACTTACAGATCAAGAGTTACTCGGGCCACTAAGAGATTAAGAAACCTGCCCAAGGTCATACAGCTGGCACAAATAAGAGGAAGTATTTGAACCTAACTGATGCTGACACTATCCCTTACCTAAGCCAGATAGGAAGTACGAGAATAATGACTTGTTTTCTAAAAAGAGGCAGCAAAACAGGATAGCATACAGAAAAAAAGAGTATTCTGTATTAGGAAAACAACTCCCCAAAAAGAAGAAATTTGTCTCATAAATTAGCACTTACTCCAAAATAACGTACTATTCCTTAAATTACTCCTAAATGGAGTGAGGGACATATCCTTGAGAATTAAAGGAGTTATGTAACTGAAAATGGGATAGAAATACAACAGAACCCCTTTACAATTCTAGTTGCTATGGACAAAGTGAATATTTGTGTTATAGGCTGAGAATACGAATAATAGACTTTAACTATATGGAGTTATTTTATAAGGGACATTATTTGACTTTGCCAGCTTGGGCCTGCTTATATGTCTTATTGTTTGAGGACCAGCCTAGCTAAATTTGAAAAAGCACATCATCACATTGACCAAAGGGTAGTTAGTCTTTTTGGCCACAGCAATACCCAAAGACTGTCATAGAACAGTTGTACTCTAGGCCTGTAGACTAGAAGGTGCACCCCCACTGATGAATACATATGTCATTGACATGTAAACATGATCTAATTTATGATTTTCCTTAATTTGTATAATATTGAGGTATACTATAGCAGTTCCATTGTTATTTTAAAAAAATTATGCTGGTATCCTTTGTTTTTACATCACCTTTATTTCCCAATATATCCCTCTACTCACTTATCAAGAGCCACTCCTTTTGGCAAGGAACTAAAAAGGAAAATTTCAACAAAACTAACACATCAGCCAAATTGAGCACTGCACCCAGTGTTCCACACCTATAGTCTTCCCCTCCTTGCACCTACCCACCTCAGCCTGTGCACAGAAGGAAAGGAGGGAGGTAAAGTTCTCATAATCTTTTCTTCAGGGCCAAGTCTGGTCATTGTAATTTTACAGCATTCAGTATATATAAATACACACACACATTTGCTACTGATCTTTTATTTTCTTTACATGTATATATATATATATATATATATATATTTGCTTTCCTGGTTCTGCTAAGTTTGCTTTTGTGTAAATTGTCACAAGTCTTCTCACACTTTTCCATGCTCTTCTTACTCATCCACCATATCATCAGTCATATTCCATTACATTCACATATCACAATTTGTTTCCATTCCCTAATTGCCAGGCCTCTACTTTGTTTTTAGTTATTTGCTACTACAAAAAAGACCACTGTAGTTATTTTTGTGACTTTATCATTGACTTCCTTGGGGTATGAGCATTGGGATCTCTGAGCCAAAAGGGTATGGACATCTTAGTCATAGTCATTTTCTCAGTATAATTCCAAACTGGTCTCCAGAATGGTTAGTCCCATTGTTCTTTTAAAATGTGAATGCCACATATATGTGACCCTTATGGCAGTGATATGTGTAGCCCAATGAGTAGGAAATTTCATGTTTTTTATGATCACTGGGGATGAAGAGGAGAATGGTACTAGGTAGTGCTACACAAGCATGCTAGTGTAATATAATGATAGCTAGCATTTATGTAGTACTTTAGGTTTGTAAAGTGCTTTGCAAATATCTCATCAATTTTTCCAGTCTCAAAAGCTGGAGAAATATCTCCTACTGGATAGCCTGGCAACGCTTTTATGCACAACATTTTGATAAATAACTTTTAGTAAGAGTTTTAACAGGCTGCTTCCTATGGCCTGGTTTATAGCAATCTACTTGGCCCTCGCCCTTGCTATCTTTTAAAACATTCCCCAAAGCATAGTCCAGGCAAGGACTCCACTGGGAAGTTGTGCCAGGACTGTCCCCTCCCTTCTGTTTCCCCCATGTGGTCTTGTACCCACTTTAGGCCTACTGCCTCCCCCTGTGCTGTGACTCCACTCTACCATGCTGCCCCCATCTTCTCTCCCCACTCATCTTGCATGCTCCTTCTTTTGACTTTTAAAAGAGATTACTACTTGGATGACCTTAGGCAACTATTTTCAGGATCTCATTTTCCTCATCAGTAAATGAAGGGTTAGACTAGACTACCTCTAAGGTCCTATCTAGCTCTCTAGCCTTCTATGATTTTCATGTATTTCATTGAACTTCAAAGCCACCCTAAAGGTGGCCCGCTTTGAATTGGGTGAGTAGGTAGCACAGTGTATACGGAGAGCTGGACCTGACGTCAGGAAGACTTGAGTTCAGATGTGGCCCCAGACACTTCCCAAATGTGTGACCCTGGGCAAGTCATTTAACTGTCCTCCTATTACCACCACCACCTCCTCTGCAGTGGAATGAGGATGTGTGTTCATTTCTCTTCTTTAGGGCAAAATTTGCTTTTTATAATTTTGCAACATTCATTTTTGGTTGTTTTGAATCGAATTGGTGGCTGTTCTTTCCCTTTATGTTTTTGTAGTCATTACGTACACTGTTTTTCTGGCTGTGCTTGCTTCACTTTGCCTCTCAGTTCACAATAGTATTCCCATGCTTCTCTAAATTCATCACATTGTTTCTTATAGCACAGTAATCTTCTGTTACATTTGTTTAGCCATTCCTCAGTCAATGGGGGCAAGGAAATACTGATTTTTTTTCCACTCTACCCTCTGAAAAAAAAAAGATCACACAGAACCCAGTGCCACAAATAAGTGGAGATGACTGAACACTGCAGTATCACCACACACAGGCTAGGGAGCCATGCTCAAATGGAAGGGAGATGAATTGGAAATTTGGTTCGGGGTGAGGGAGCCAAGTAATTTCCTGGATGTGGTGATTTTTAGTGGTGATCATGGTGGCAATAAGAAGGTTTATTTTCCTTCTCTTCTTTTTTCTTTTATTTGATACCTATGTGGATGTTTTTGAGGCTGTAAGGAGGAGCTGGGTATAATCTTTACTCAAGGCCATTCACTCCACCACCTTGCTAGAACTTCTCAGCAAACTAGGGTGCCAAAGAGTTACTGTCATTAGAAGAAAATTCAACACAGCTTGTAAGGGTCAAATAATTTCTCCACTAGGTCCTTTAATTATTAAATCATTATGTTCATGCCAAGCATTTTTGGCAGCAGCTAATGAAATATCACTGCTAAAATAGTAGCCCTCATGAGTGAATCTAAATGTCATCTTTTGCTCCAGATGTGAAAAAAGATACATAACAAAGTAATTGGAGCAGATAATCCTGACTCCAAACAGCCATCAGCTCCAGAGCTGCAAAAAAGGGAATGTCTGCACAGCTTACAATAAGTTTGATTTATCCTTATTTACAAGTGCCTACATGTATTGTTCCTACTCTAAAGAGTATTCATTGGGATGTGAAGTTGAGCTCTCTTCCCTGATTTCCACTATAACCCTGCAGACTCCCTTCCCTCACTCGGGAAGTTCAGTTCCCAGGGCAGTATAGAAAACAAATGAGAGGTGAGTAGGATGAGGTGACAGTAATTTTTCCACTCCATCCTTTGGCTATTTTATTCCTCTTTTCATTTTTTTCCGAGTGAAAAGAGGAGAAACCTTTCATTCTGATAGCAGCTGTACTTGGGAGCCGGTCTGTAGAGTATGGACGACTCTCACTCACTGACAGTATATGCTAATACAGAGTAGCAAGAAGGCAGTACCAAGAGGCTGTCTGGTTTAATGAAAAGAGAACTGGATTTGGGAATCAAAAGATCGTGGTTGAAATCCAGGTTTAGCCCTTTTACTTTGTGTGTTTTTGACCTTGGCAAGTCACTTTGTCTCTCTAGGCCTCAGTTTCCCCATCTGTAAAATACCAGGGCTGGGGGTGGAGGAGTTTGGCCTGTATGGCCTCTGAAGTCTCAGCTCTAAAGCTGGGCAAATTCAGTGTTTTGCCTCCTTCCTTTCATACCTACCCCACTCCTGTTTGGAAAGGTAAGTGAGTAATATTCTTATTCTCCCTCCATCTCTCCCCTGATGTAAAGAGAAACTGTCACACCGGTATCTTGATCTCTGAATAATTCACACATCACAACTTTATCTCTTTCAGTTTAAATTTAGAAAAAAGGATCATTTTTAATTTGCCTCCCAACCTAAGAAATATTTATGTAGATGCTATGTTTTTAAAACATAGGAGACATGTCCCAGTAAATAGAGGTCCACCCTCTGTCAGAAAGACCTGAGTTCAAGTCACACCTCTGACACATAATAATAATGATAATAATGCATTTATATAGCACCTACTGTTACATTTCATTTGATCCTCACAACAACCCTAGAAGGTAGGTGCTATTGTTATCCCCATTTTACAGTTGAGGAAACTGAGGCAAACAGAGGTTAAATCACTAGGCCAGCGTCATTCAGCTAATAAGTGTCAGAGGCCAGATTTGAACTCGGGTCTTCCTGACTCCAGGTCCAGTGCTCTGTACACTATACCACCTAGTTGCTTCATACTAAGACGGACTGGTTGTATAACCCTAGGCAAACTACTCTGTAAGACTAAAATAATTTACAAAGAAGCTACTGGTCTGCATTGGTTAAAGGGATTCACTCAACCTAGAATTTCAACACTGCTGAAATTACAGATGTAGATCAAAACCAAAATTTACTAAATAATCAATAATCATTTATTAAGTACCTACTGCATATAGGCACCATAGACATCTCCCAACTCCAAGTATTTTCACCGGCTCTCCCCAATACATGAAATGCTCTCACTCCTTGCATTTGCCTCCTGGCTTCCCTGGCTTCATTCCACTCTGTGAAAACCCCGCTTTCTGCAAGAAGCTTCGCCACTGAGATTACCTCCAGTAATGTTACATGGGGTAACCCCATGTCTCTTTTATGTAGCTGGTTTTTGGCTTGAGGACAGGGACAGTGTTTTTGCTTTTCCTTAAATCCTCAGTGCTTAGCACAGTGCCTGGCACATATTAAGTTCTCAATAAATGTTCATTGAGTGTTTGATTTGATCTGTGGGGGTCACAAAAGATCCCATATGTTTCTGGATCTCTATAGGGACAGTCTCTTCATGATGAAGCGTCATGTCTTCAATCACTTTGGGAGGTTCGTTCATTTCTGGGCATCTCTGTAAATGTGAATTCTTGCTTCTTACCACATACTCTCCACATGGAATGTGTCATGTAATTGTTTTGTCTTCTAGTGGTCCCAAACGCTACGACTGGACAGGGAAGAATTGGGTGTATTCTCATGATGGAATATCCCTCCATGAACTGCTGGAAATGGAATTTTCTCAAGCCTTGAAAACTCAATTAGATATGTCTTCCCTATTCTGTTCTGGAAAAGACACTTGACAAAAATCTAATTTTTAAAGATGTCGAAAGCTGTAAATGAAGAGTACCTCTCTCCTCCACGCTTGAATTTGTTTTCATCCTCTTAGCCCCACCCCCCATTTAGCATCATTTTATGTGATAGTTATGTGAAAAGAATATATATTTTTGACCTCAACTCTGGCTGTAGATTTCTTGAAATTGTTTAGATCTATTTCTATATTATATCTCACTTTCATAAGCCTACATCAAAGAACTATGAATGTTTTTTGTTTTGTTTTTTAAAGCACAAACCCCAGGGAAGGTGAATTGGTTTCACTCTTGTTACTATGAAGGATGCCCTATAAAAATGACAAAGTGACAAACAGATTGTCAGCCCCACCAGGCTTTATCAGAATGAGGCTAATTACTAGGTGGAACATAAATGTTCCCACACTCCATCAAAAGAGTAAAACAATACTTGTGAAAATCTTTAGTGTTTCAGCATCAAAGGCAGAGGGGGAATTCTCCAACAAAAGATAACTTCCTTTAGTTCTTGTCTGTTCTGAACTATGAAGCCCATGTGCTCTGGGGCTTAGAGGAGAGACAGCTGGACAGCCTATTTATTATTCTTTGCTCCTAGTAAGGGGGTAAAGAAATGACAGTAACCACTTCAGGGGCTTAAAGCACTGTTACTTTGGTTTGTGATGTCGCCCACATATTGGGAATTTTAATAGAATTTCTATTGCTGGATTTCACGTGCTTGAGTTCTGTTCTTTACAGAAATTATTTTTTCTTAAAAACACACACACAATGCCTTTAGATGTTAAACTGGTAAGAGAAGACACCGTATTTTAGCTGCTGCCATGCTTAGGTTTAGGGAAAATAAAATGTTATTAAGGCTGCTGTGTTGTTTGCACTAATTACATATTATATTATAGAAGGGAAATCTTAAAACAGAAAATAGGAATAAATAGTATTTAGACTGGGTTTTGGAAATCTTTTCTAAGTTGCTCCTCAGGTAATTTTCTTTTATTATCATTACTGGTTGCGATTAAAATGATAGAATCAATAAAAATCTTGTTTTTTTTCCTGATGACCAATTTAGTAACAGCTTACTTGGAAGTCAGCTGTCCAGCAATCTCACCTATTTAGAACACATGAAGCAAGCCAAAACAAAATAAACAAACAAAAAAAACCCAACTCTACAGAAACAAAATAGAGGGCACTTTACCCTTAGAAGAGCCTCTCAGGCCCTCACTCTGACCCTATTTACTCTTACTTTACACTTAGGCTTTTCAGACAAGAATGATTATCTCATTTTCAAGCCTACAGATAATTAGGAGGGGAAAGAACTGCCACAGGTTTATCAACAGCAGTGAAAGCTTGGTTGCAAAAACTAAGACAGCAAATCTGAAAAACAGCTTTAAAAAAAAAGGCAACAATGTGGGGTCATTTAGTATACGGACAAGCAACCTTATACACATCCGTTTTTATAGCACAGTATGATCATTGATGTTCATAGTATTGACCTCAACCATCAAGAAAAAAATTAAAATAGATTCAGATTAAGAAAGCAGATAAAATAGATGGTGCATTTAAAAAATATACTTTCATCTAAATTTCTTGAAATAAGCATTTTGGTCTGTAAAGAGAAGCTTGGGGCAGATAGATGGCACAGTGGATAGAGCACCAGGCCTGGAGTCAGGAAAACTCATCTTCCTGAGTTAAAAATCCAGCCTCAGACATTTACTAGCTGTGTGACCCTGGGAAAGTCAGTTAATCTTGTTTGCCTCTGTTTCCCCATCTGTAAAATGAGCTGAAGAAGGAAATGTAAACCATTTCAGGATCTCTGCCAAGAAAACCCCAAATGGAGTTATGAAGAGTCAGACATGACTGAAAATACATATATGTGTGTGTGAGTGTGTGTGTATAGTCTACCTAACTCTTGCAATTCTTTTTGAATATGAGTCATCTGTTTACTATGTGCTGTAAGAAGATAGGAGCTCAAGAGAGGATATAATAATAATATTATGTAATAATATAATAAGCTCAAGAAGAATATAATAAAGATCTTTCTACGGTAGATGTGCAATTTAAAAGGTTTCATGATTTGTCTTTTTTTTTAAATATGGAAATATTTCATGAGTATGTTCCATGTATAAAATTCCATCCTCAGTTTCATTCCATTCTCAGACTTTTTCTTTGCCTCTAATAATGCCAGTGACCTGGAGCACCTTTCTGGCCCTGCTCGGCTCTATCTCCTACTGAGTCATAGCATGGGCAATGGGTATCTTGATTGTTAGATGCCATTCTCCTAGCCTAAAGTGGTAAAGCTAGTGTGTGAGAAGCAGTACCCCAAGCTATATCTAATGAAAAATGTACTTCTAAGGGCAACTAGGTAGTGCAGTGGATAGAGCACAGGTTCTGGAATCATGGAGACCTGAGTTCATATCTGGCTTCAGATATTAGCTGGGTAACCTTGGGCAAGTTAACTTCTATTTACCTGTTTCCTCATCTGTAAAATGGGGGTAAATACAGTATCAACCCCCCAGGGTTGTTGTGAGGATTAAATGAGATGATAATTATAAAGCACTAAGTTAAGACACAGCGCCTGGTACATACTAAGCACTAGATAAATGTTAATTATTAAAAGCAACTGGTAGTTGTACAGTAGAGTATTGGGCTTGGAGTCAGGAAAGCCCAAGTTCAAACTCTACTTCAGACACCTACTAGCTATGTGACCATGGGCAAGTCACTTAACGTTGCCTCAGTTTTCTCATCTGTAAAATGGAGATGATAATAGCTCCTACTTCCCAGAGTTGTTACAAGGATTAAATGAGACCACATACAAAAACACATTTCAAAAATTGAAGTGCAAATGTATAACCTGTATAAAATTGCTTGCCTTCTCAATGAAGGGGGTTTAGGAGGGAGGAAGGGAGAGAATGTGGAACTCAAAAGTTTTAAAAATAAATGCTAAAAATTGTTTTTACATGTAATTGGGGAAAAATAAAATGCCAAATAGAATATTTTTTAAAAAGCAATCCAGAAGAAAAGTGATGAAAAAAATTAACGTACTATGTAAATGTTAGCTATTATTATTATTAAACCCATAAATGTACAGATAAGTTTATTTCTGCTAATAGAAGTGCATGATGGAAAAAAAAAGTTGCAAGACTAGGGAATAAATTAAGACAAAAGAAAGTTGGACAATGGTTTTTACATTGTTAGTGGCAAAGAACATTTTCTTTTGATTTTTAAAACAAAACCTGCATACTCGGGAAGGAGGTAAAAGTACAAATTTTACAGAATCACCTAATTCTAGAAGAGACCTCAGTGACCCATACCTGAAAGGAATCCACAGTATAAGATGCTGACATAACCATAGAAAAGTCCAATGGCTCCTCCATATGAATGGAAAACACTTGAACATAAGCCGTGAAGTTTCACACACACCTCCAAATCCCACCTCTCTCCTCCTCCCATTCTGGGCAAACATGCCCAACTCCTTCAGTCCCTTTTTTTAAGAAACAAGCTATTTAATGCTGCTTTCCTTATTTCTTATATAAACAAATCTTTTCCTTAGTATTAAAGATCTCTGCTGCCTTGATCTCCATATACTGTCATTTAATAACTGTCTTCTTGGTATGGACTGCTCTCTTAATACGTAGAGGTAGAGGCATGGAATCCTTAGTTTGATATAATTGGCTATGTCCTTTTGAAAACTATACCATTCCTTCATTCAGTGAAATAGAGGACTTTCAAGCATTCTTGATGAAAAGACCAGAGCTGAATAGAAAATTTGACTTTCAAATACAGGACTCAAGTGGAACATGAAGAGGTAAACAGGAAAGAGAAATCATAAGAGATTTATTAAGATTGAACTGTTTACATTCCTGCATGGAAAGATGATATTTATAACTCATGAGACCTTTGTCAGTATTAGGGTAGTTGGAGAAAAAAAATTATATGTATGTATATGTAGATAGATAGATAGAGGGCACAGGGTGAGTTGAAGATTAAGGGGTCATATCTAGAGAATAAACTTAAGGGATGAGAAAGGATTATACTCAGAGAAGAAGAAAGGGAGAGGTAGAATGGGGTAAATTATCTCAAAAAAAACAGAAAAGAAAAGTCTCTTGCAGTGGAGGGGAAACGGGGGAAGGTGAGAGGAAATGAGTGAATCTTATTCTCATAGGATTTGGCTTAAGGAGGGAATAACATACACATTCAATTGGGTGTGGAAATCTGTCTTACCCTACAGGAAAATAGGGGGAGAAGGGGACCAGAGAGCAAGGGGATGATGGAGAGGAGGGCAGATTGGGAGAGGGGGTAATCAGAAGTAAGTAAGTGCTTCTGAGGAGGAAAAAAAAAAAGAAAAGAAAACTATACCATTCTTTATTCTTTGGCCTGACTAAATAGGTCCTTTGGTGTATGTGAGACTGAGTTTATTTGGGTCCTAATATCTGATAAACATGCAGAATCACAGTTCAGATCACTGAGAAGCACGAAGTATTATTTTGTCAGGTAGTCATATCTGACTCTTCATTTAGGATTTTCTTGGCAAAGATACTGGAGTGATCTGCCATTTCCTTCTCAAGCTCATTTTACAGATGAGGAAACTGAGGCAAACAGGGCTAAGTGACTTACCCAGGTCACACAGCAAGAGTGTCTGAGGCCAGATATGAACTCAGGAAGATGAGGCTTCCTGACTAGAGGCTTGGCACTGTATCCACTGTGCCACCTAGCTGCCATGAAAGATTAAAATGTGCCTTAATTGAAGGATTATTTATGTAAACTCTGGTTTTTAGCAGAGACTTTACTGTGAAAAATAGAAACAAATTACTCTGGCCCCTTCCAGCTGTTAATTCTATGGTGAAGAATAAGTGTATTATTAGTGATCTACAGAATAAGTGTATTTTTGTGACCCTCCACCCCTCTCCCCATCCGTAATAGCAAATCTTCAACCTGAAGTTTGTCATCCCTTTGGTCTTTCTAGCTAACCGTTCTGCAGGCTCAATAATCACCAGTTAGATAGTTTACATTGAAACTGGTACACACTGGTAATAGAGATACTCCAAATACGCTATAATCCAGCCTACTGACCTGTTTGCTATTAAAATCACCCGATACCACCTCCTCTCTTGGTGCTTTTGCACTGGCTGTCTCCCATGCTTGGAATGCACTCCCTCCCCACCTCTATCTCTTGGAATCCCTGGTTTCCTTCAAGATTTAGCTCAGGTTCCGTTTTTCTTCATGAAGATTTTTCTGATCCCCTAGCCATAAGTGCCCTCCCTCAGAAAACTATAGTGTATTCATTTTGTATATATTTTGTGTATGTTGGGGTGAATGGGGTGTTCAGAAGGACTAGCACCTCTGGCATGAGGGTTTGCTAAGCCCTTTTCAGGGCTGCTCATCCATTTTTGGTGTTTGCCTGGCACTGAACTCTCACCTGTGGTTCCAAGAAGTTGTAGCATGCATAGTGTCCACAACCCAGTAAACAGGCTCAACAGACAGGCTAAACCAGGTTGAGGGTAACTGATGGGCCTCAAATCCATCGGTGAGTTGGGGGAAGGGTGTCTACCCCAAGCATGTGAAGATCTCCCCCTCAGAATGGACAGATGAAAACAATTTGTTCCAATGGCTAGGAAGGAGGCTGAAGCAGGCACTCTGGAGCACTTAGAGCTTGGTCAGACATCAAAGATGCCAAGGTCACCCACTGTATCCCAAAGCCATCACCATGTCTTGACTTTTGTCTTGCCACCGGACTTTGATGACTCTGGAAGAAAGGGTGAGGCTGATGACTTTGCACAACTCTGCCTCACTTAAATCCAATTCACACAGGAGTCAAGACATAACCCCGTGATGTCATTTGCCCTCTTCCAAAACAAAGGACAAGCAACAATGATTCTCTATATGTTTGTGTATGTAATATGTTTCCCCACTCCATTAGAGTGTAAGCTCTTTGAGGGTAAGGATTATTTCTTTTTTGTCTGTATT